AGAGAGAGAGAGAGAGAGAGAGAGACTAAGAAAAAAAATTTAACAACTATTTTTTTTATGAGTAACTTCTCCTTTTTTTCCTTTTTTTATTTATTTTTTTCTTTTAATACAATGCAGGCATGAAATGCCTTTTTCCTGCTAGTATGTATAAATTTTTTTCTTTATTAATTCGGAAAAGTTAGATTTTCACATTTTTTTAGAATGCTTTTGTAAAAAAAATGGAATAAAAATGATTATAAAAATGACATTTCTAAGAATTTTTTAGAAAAATATTTAAAAAATTGACTTAATTGAAATTTATTTATATTTAAATTTAAAATTTTTAAATTATTTTTTCTTATATATATTTTAAGGGAGTATAATAAAAAGTAATAAATTAATAGAAAGAGATATTATGCCCTTAGATTCGTTGAGTGAATTGAGTATAACATAGGAAGCCTGGAATATGCTGATCGAAGAAACAATATTTTTTCAAGATGATACACGCAGACGCAGACACAGTGATTTACCAACTCCTCCAACGAAAATCATAACTTCAAACACGGGGAATACCTATTCATGCAAGAATTTATATATCACCCACTAATAAATTTATTACATTTTTTAATAACAGTCTATTTTAGTATATTTTTGACAAAAAAAATTCATTACATTTTCAAGAACATTAAATAACAAAAGTCCAAACTTCTAAACAAAAACTTATGAAGAGTGCATAATTGACCAAGTGTATGTTTATAGTGTCCATAATTAATAAAATCTTGATTTCATTATCTCCTGTATGATTCTTAATAAACAAAAAAATGAATTCTAAATAATTTACATTTTTATGAGCGATATGGGTACATTCTTTGATAGTGATTGTAGCTTTTCCTCCATAGGATTGACAGTGGAAAATAACTAACGAGCTAATATCCTTAAGTAATTTAGCGTTTGAACTTTTCTTTTCCACTAGATCTTTAAGGCAAGTAAAATAAGAAGTTTATATTTGACCCAACTTGTGTGAGTTCTAGGTTGGATTAAGTTGGATTGAATTGATTGAAATTTTTAACTTAATAAAAAAATAGGTCTAATACAATTCAACTCATTTTTAATAAATTTAGAGAAAGATTAAGATGAGTTAGCATATTTTTCTTTTTTGGTATATACCTTGATATTGATAGGAAATTTTACTCATTTCACTAGGACGTTTTTACTCATTTCACTAGAAACTAGTCTTTCAAAATTTTAATTATATTAAGATTGTCTCTCTCAATGTTATTTTATATTAAATCTAAAATTCAAATTTAAAATCTTAAAACTTAAAAACCAATCATAATACGGATTGAATCAACAAGCATTAACAATGAGTTAACTTGCTTGATATACCTGGGAAAGAATCAAAGAAGTACTAAGTATTAGCAACATAAAGTACCATTATGGTTGATTTTTTATTTTTTATTCCAATTAGTGTAGACTATTAACTAATGTAAGACTTTTAGCCGAGGTTAATATACGTTTTTTCCTAGTGCCATAATCTATTCAAAATAATCCAAGTTGATATTTGAATATTAATTTCTATGATGGGAGCTTGAGCCAAATAAATCAAAGGCAATGGGAAGACGACGAAGCGACAGAAAACAGTTGCCTTATATGACTTTCTTTATTTTTTTTATGAGAACCCAGATTGGAATATGTACATAGATGAATGATTACCACCTCCAAAAATAAATAATTACTAATCCCTCTAAATATTAAACAAACCAAATTAATTAATATATATTCTAGCTAGTAAGAATATATATGCAGTGCAGTCCGAGGCAAATAAATTGTAGTCAAGAGGGGAAAGACGAAACAATTAGTTCCCTAAAAGCCTTGTAACATGACTTCCCCTTTGTTTCAGAATCCAGATTGGAAGAACATGTTGCAGGAGCCTTCAGAAATTTTGTTCCAATCATTGTCAAGCAATGATGTTCTTGACCCTCTCTACGATTCTCTTTCCTTCGATATGGTTGACTTCTCCACGCCACAAACACAAGGAAACCACAACGAGGCAAAGCAATTGGTGGTGAAGTCTGAAGTGCAGAACAAGGAAAGGTCATACATAGGTGTGAGGAAAAGGCCTTGGGGAAAATTTGCAGCAGAGATCAGAGACACAACAAGGAATGGCGCAAGGGTTTGGCTTGGAACCTTTGAAAGTGCAGAAGCTGCTGCGTTGGCTTATGACCAAGCTGCATTTTCCATGAGAGGCCATAATGCTGTACTCAATTTTCCTGTCAAAATGGTGGAAGAGTCTTTGCAAGAGATTCAATATAGCTGCTGCAATGGATCTTCTCCTGCACTTGCACTCAAGGAGAGGCACTGCATCCAAAGAAAATTGTCATCAAAAGGTAAAAGGTGTAAAGGGAAAATGCAGCTTACTATCTAGAGCAACTCCTAAGCATTTCAGATCAAAGTGCAAGCCCTAGCTACTTCAACTAAACCTGGTTCACTATTCTTTTGTTGTTTCTTTTTCCTTGTTGAATTAATTTCGCTTTTTTTACATCATCAAGTGTATGTATTATATATTGTTTCTTTCAATATAAGTCCAGAGCCATTTTCTTCTGTCATGACGTCCACTAAGAAAATAGATCTATGATAATATTTGATCTTTACAAGCAACTGGGAGCATGAATTTTGCTGCCTTTAGAAGTTGTATCAAATTGTTGACGCTCCTCTTTAGATTGAGCCTGAATACCTTCTCCCAGTTGCCAATTTATGTGGTTACTTGTTTTTATAGTTTTTGTGTTGAAGTATTCTGAATCCATTCTTGCATCAAACATTGCCCTTCACTCTGCTGAGGTTCATTGTCTTCAAATTCCATCTTCACAATCCCTGAACATTTCCAATAAAATTCTCGAGCCAAGCTGAATGGGTGAGTTTATTACTTGCTACCTGGGTAATATGAAACTATTTTTCAAGCCTTTCTAAAAGCAATCTTAAATAAAAACAGGTTTAAAATAATTTCATATATAACATAAAGGAAAATAACAAAATATAACCCAATACCAAAAAAATAACCCTAACTCTAGTATTAGAGTTTCAAGTTGGATTTGGTGATATCAAATGATATACAAAGACAATTTCTCTAAATACGATGAAAGTGATAAAATGATATATAAAGACAAATATATTAAAGTCAATTTCGTTGAATTCAATTCCAAGTCTTTATTATTAAGATACAAATAAAGTCTCACACTTTTTAGGTAATAACCAAAACCAAAAATCATAAGAAAAAATAACAAAATATAACCCAATACCGAAAGAAATAACCCTAATAGTAGTATCAAGTGTTCCATGTTGGATTCAGTGACAATCAATTACTTATCTAATGATATACAAAGACAATTCCAATAAATGACATGAAAATGATAAAATGATATAAAGAGATAGACAAATTGAAGATAAAAAGTGATAAAATGATATACAAAGACAAACAAATTCCAGACAGATTGTTAAGATAAATAAGATTATATATTGATCAAATAAGAGAAAAAATTTCTCCAATGATTAAAAAGCCTTTTAGATAAATAACCAAAAGTAAAATCGTGAAGGTTTAGACCCAAAATGTGTAATATTTCATCAATGTAAAGTTATGTGTGCAAATAATCCGATAAAAAATAACACAAGATATCCCCTCTTGATATAAATATTTCCTCTGATAAATACCAAAAAAATAATCCTAACACTAATTAGAGCAAAAAAAACTTAATTAATTATGTGCCTCTTATAAAACATAAAACATCACACACACATGATTAATTAAACATTTAGGTCCAGATAACATAAGTCATTTATCAACAATTAGGAATCTTTAATTTATTGTATATCTCTTATCTTATGTGGCTTGTCCCTTTTCTTTGCATCCCATTTGTGATCAATCAAAGCAAATGAGGATTTTGCAATCACAGCAACCAAAAGGATTCAATATATGGGCAAGATCGTAAGTATAATAAAAAAAATATAATGATATAAAATTATAAATACAAAGAAATTAATGTGTCTGAACTCATTGAATACATCAGGTGTAACATATAGGAAGCCTTAAGTCCTGATTGAAGAAATTAAAAATCTTGTTTCAGTGATTGACATAGTCATTTACCTTTTCCAACTATAATTTCAACTGTACCTACCAGAAATACCCCGTAAAGTATGAAATTATATATATCACCCGCCAAGTTCATATAACACTGCAAAGAACATAAAATAACAAAAGTCGAAACTTCATTAATTATTTTCAGTTTTATACATGATGGAAAAAAAAATCTTATTTTGATTAATTTTTTGTATAAATCTTTAAAAATAGGAAATAAAGTACTGAAAATCCTTAAAGAGATTAGTAGTTGAGTCTGATTTTGTATAAGGTCATGATTTATTCTAATCTAAACTGTTTAATACCAAAAAAAGAATTAGCTGAAAACAGATGATGAAAACAAAATTCTTTCTTACATTCCAAATATAAAATGCCTGAAAGGCCGAAACCAAATCGATCTGTATGTGTGACAACTAGCAAAGACACACTACATTAAGTATGCTACTATTAATATATTTAACGATGCAAATTAATCCAAAAATAATTGAGAGAAAAGGGCATCACAGCAATGGGAACCAAATAATTAAGAGTTCATCCATATAAATTTACCATAAGCAGCACTATTTGTAATTCAATATATATACTTGTATCCAAGAAGACAAATAGATCACAAGCTTCACTAATGAATTGTACTTTCAACAAAACTAGGGTATACAACTAGTCATCTGATTTGAAAGATGATAAAATAAAAATTATTTCTGGTTTTAGCTTTCCAGAAGAGATAAAAAGAGAAATTTTAAAGGAAAAAATATTTTGGTGTTAGATCTCAACCATTCCACAGTTCTGTCCTTGCAAGATTCAATGTATCCATTTTATCCTGCCCTTATCCTGGTCTCATGATACTAGGGAAAATAAGAATGAAGGAATGGTGTTGAGCACTCATTTACAAGATTAATATCTATCAATTGCTCCATTACTCTTAAATATCGTCAGAAAAATGTCTAACAATCTAGATCTCAAGAGGTAATAACACTAGCCTCCTGAATTAAACATGGGCATACTAACATTTTACTCAGAAATCAAAATGCTAGAGATTTGAAGGCATTTATAAACTCACTAAACCAAAGAAATTTGAAGTTAATCACGCCCAGTTTAAACACCATGTTTCTCAAATTATCGTGCAATGCAATGCACGTTTAGGTAAATCTTTAGCATAAATTTCAATTTTTTAAGAATATTACTAAATTGCTATTAGAGTCGTGTATATATAACATTAACGCACATAAGAAGAAACTAAATATTAAAAACAACGCAAAGGATCAATGAAACCCAACAAATGCACTGACCCAGCTGATACACATTCTCATAATTTGAGTCATGAGGAGAAATTCCCCAGATAGGAAACCAAAAACAATGCCACCTCTTTATGATGATAAAATTAATTCCATTTCCAGAAATGCTTTACGATAGAATTTTCAACCATAGAAAACGAATGAAAGAATCACACACACATATATATACCTCTTATTCAACACTGTTTCCGCTGTTCACCATCTTTCCTGAAAACGGGAGACCCCAACAAGTTGGAATCAGTTGAGGGAAGAATAAATGCTTCCCTGGTTTGTGGGATGAAGGATAGGGTTTGAAAGAGGCGGAAGAGGGAAAATGAGGGGGAGTAGGTTCCGTGTCTGAATCCGACAGTGAACAAAGAAGGTAACAAAAGTTTACTGTCTCAATATATTTTTCATCACATTTATGTATATTTTAAAAAAAAAAAGCTTTTACATATAATCAAAATATTGTTGTTAACAAAATTTGATCTTAATAGATAAAGAACATATTTATATCTTATTTTGTATGATTTTATAATCTGTCATTATTTGCTATGATTTTATAATCTGTCACAGAGGGAGATTCTCGTTATTTTTTGACATTACAATATTCTTGTTTAATGAAAAATGTGAATTTAATGATATTGTTGTAATTATCTCAATTGACACTTCTTATGCGTAATTGACTTTATTTAATAAAATTGTTACCTTCCAAAAAAATATTTATATCTTATTTCAAAAAGACGTAAGTTCGAGTTCAATTACAGGTGATATAAAGACTTTGTTGATGACTAATATATTAATATTATTATAGTGAGTATTAATCTCTTAAGATCTAACTCATTTAAATTTTTTGTGAGCAATAAAAAAACTCAAAATATTCTTTACTTGAAAATTAAAGATTAATCATTGAGAATACGTTTAAGGAATAAAATTAATTTTTTTATCTCACATTTGAATGAGACAAATATGGTACGAATAATTAACATACATCTTATTTCTGAGCAAGAGAAATAAATGATAAGTGATAAAAACAAATATTGTTGGAATAAAAGCTTTAAAAAATTAATAATGTAAGTGATAGATAAAAAAGATAAATAAGAAAAATGAATGTATTGATATAAATATTACTAGTATTTGTTATTAGTTTTTTTTTTAGGGAGTTGCTACGGTACCCTCAAAGATGGAAGGGTTTCAATACATTTTTCTATGTAAATTCATAAATTTTTTTTAAAAAAATTAATTTAATTATAAAATAAATAATCTAAATTATACTTATAAAATAAAAAGTAAGATAAAATTATAGAGATTAAAATTATAAGTTTTCAATAATATTATAAAATATTAAAGAAAAAGAAAAAATTAATAAATAGTAGAAATAAAAAGTTATTAAAATTACAATATAGAAATTCAAAAATTTAAGACAAAAAGACAAAAAATATACTTAAAAAATTATTAAAATTAAAATATAAAAATTCAAAAATTTTAAGTGAAAAGATAAAAATATACTTAAAAAATTATTAAAATTAAACTATTTAAATATATAATAATATTATTACAAATAAATTAGAATATATAAAATAAAAATAAAATGACTAAATAATTTAAAAATTGAAAGGATAAAATATTATAAATATTATTTAAATAAATTACTAAAAATATAAAATATAAAAAACTGTACCGGTACCCTCTCAAATAAGATGGGTACCATAGAATTTCTCATTTTTTTATATATTATTTTAACTACAGTCACTCTCTCCGCAATTCTCGGCAGAGGAGGTGGGGCTTCACTTTGAAGAAGCGGAGAAATATGGGACAATATGAAAGAAAATAAATAAAAGAAAAATTGATAATACCGCTTAATTTTTGTTTGGACTTGCATGCTATAAAAAAAAAAAGTATGGGAAATAAAAATTAGGTAATGAAAACTTTTATCGACCTTTTATCCCCTATATTTGGTTGTCAAACATGAGCCAAAATGGTATACAAATTCAATTAAGGGATATAGTTTTCTTCTTCCTCTCATTTTTCCCACTAGTGAAGTTATTTATTTATATAAAAAAAATCATAATTTTCTTCAAAATATTTCATCCTTTTATCCTTTTAAAATCTTTAATGGAAACTTCTTTTTCGCCCCATTTTTTTTTATCAGCAAATAAAATTTCATATAGTAGAAAATGAAAGATGAGCTATAGCACAAAGAATGTCATATATAACCCATCACCATATGTCTTCACTATACCTAATGCCTATAAACCCCATCCATCCTTTACAACCGAAAAGACTGACCACAAAGAGGAAATTTAAACTATAAAAAGGAATATGTCATCACCATCAAGCATAGCACCTAATTAAACAGAACTTAAACAACATATATTGAGCGCCTATCCTTTTTCACAAGCTTCTTGAAAAACCAAAAGGTACATCCAACATGCAAACACTATTGAACTTTTACACCCTACCAATGAACATAGAAGCTAATAGTTAGAACTTGATCCAAAGAATCTGCACAAGGTGTACCCCAAGCCCAACTACATCAAGATTTGTTAATGAAAGTGAAGTAAGAGGACATACAATAAGAAGGATTTGAAAAAGCCTCAACTTACACAACCTCATCTGAATCCAATATTGTGCTGTGCCAAATTAATTGAAAAATATTTGATTTCTATGTATGACGAGGTTGAGAAAAATGGTTTGTGGGTTAAACTGAAGGTATTAGGAATCGTGTAATAGGGCAAACTAATCAGATTATTAGAACATTTTAATGTTTACTATTCTCATAAACTAATTAATGGGCTAGCCAGATTAACTTGATTTCATATATCATTATAACAAAATTTATTATTAACGATAATTATTTAATGATAATAGATTAATTATTTATATTTTATTATCTAATAAAAATATTAATGACTAATATGTAATAATTATTAAAAATGTATTTATATTATACTAAAATTTACTATTAGTAACAATTATTTATTAAAATAATTTCAAGTCTCACATCAACTATAGATAAGATAATTAAAAAGTAGATTAGTGGGTGATAATTCTCACTTTATAAGTTGATTTTGTAAGGTTAAGTTAGATCCAAAATTTAATATTCTAAATTAGTATTAGATCATTCATAATTTTCAAGCTCAATAGTGCTAAACTTTAGAGAGTGTATTTAGAAAAATTTAAGTCTCGCATGATTATGATAAAATAATTAAAGAGTATTAAAATTGAGAGTAACTCTCACCTTACAAGTCTCATATCTCTTAAGAGATAAGACAATTAATAAATATATAAGTTATAAATCATTTCTTAAATTTTTAGTAACAATAACAAAAACTTATTAAATATCAATAAAAGAAATATTATAAAACTTATATATACATTTTTCTCGATCATTATAAGCGACTTAAGGAGTTGGTCATCAAAAGTGATATTTGCAACATGATGGTTGAATCTTACTCCAACGGAAAGCTACTTAGAGGAGATGCAACTAGTACTTCATTTGCTTAATACCAAAATGAGAGAGTTCAATATAAATGGAGGAATTTTAATCAAACTCCCAACTATGCATCTAACAAATTCAAGAAATACTAGCTAGTAGTTGGCTTAAGAAGGTGTTGAATTTAGTTATTTCTGAAAACTAGTCCGCTTTTGTAAAAGAGGCAAATCTAAATGGTATATTAAGTTTGAATGAGGTGATTGATATGATGCAAGGAGGAATCACATACATGCTCCATTTTCAAAATAGACTTTGAAAAGGCTTTTGATTAGTGAGCTGGAGCTACTTAGAGACTACATTTAAATGAGACTTAGCCTTAATTAATTAGGAATGGTGAGGCTGGATTTCTGAATGTCTATCAACAACTAATTAAAACAACAGTTTTGGTCAACGGTAATCTAACAGAAAAAATTTCTTTAGACAAGAAGATCCTCTATCTTCTCTAACTGCTCTTATAAAATTTTCCCCTTAATTAGCTCCGAGACAAATTCAAATAAGTAAACATTTCATTGTCCTTGTATTCACCACACTATTGATGATAAATTTCAACAATCATCTTCCCTAAAAATGTTATTTTTATTTCATGATTTTAGTAACTATCATGTAATCAAAAAGATTAGTTCAAACTCAGAAGGGGCGACAAAAAGGGCTAATTATGTAAATTGCAAAACTGATGATATGTTTTTCAAGTATCACAGTAATCTAGTGGGAGCTAATCCTAGAAGATCAAGCACCTAATTAAAGACATGTCTTAGATAAGATGAAAAACATGTTATATTATTGGAGCAACAAATTTAAACACAATTCTTTTAGGGGTCTTATCAGTTTCATATCACTTTCTTCAACTCTACCCTCTCAGTTATTCTTCCAATGTACTTTTTCTTTCTCCAAAAAAAAAAACTCCAAAGACGTCTTAATTACTAAGATTCAAAAGCAATTCTTGTATAGAAACAGATTTGTAGGTAAAAAATGAGGATATACCTTAGAATCAGTTCTTTAATTAATGATCCTTTTGTGAAGTAATGCGTTGGAATTAATCTTTTGGTTGGGTCTACTTGTTAATGTGAACCTTGGTTAGCATGCATGTAATTTGTATTCTTTCAATAACAAATTAGATCCAACAAGAAAGTTAGTTATCCAATATATATATATATATATATATATATATATATTATTTTTTTTT